CTTCTCTGCCCCTTCCCACCACCGACTCAACCCCCTTTCTAGGTAAACAGTGAACACACATTGAAACAGTATTTGTTGGAAAAGAAACCAAACTATTAGTGGGTACAGAGGGCCAACATATCCCATTTGGGGACCTATCTAATATTTCAGGGCTTATCCCTTTGCTATAATTTTCTTCATCTGTAAAATGGGGATAAAAGATTTTCTTCATATGTTGTTGGGAAGACCAAATATATAAAATGTTTAAAATAGTGCCATACACATAGTGAATGCTTAATAAACCTTTACTATCCTTACTGGGCATTGCTCTGCTTATATGAGGGCCATCTGGTTTGATAGGCTGTGAAGTCTTCAAACCCAAGTGTTAATCATTTCTGCAGTAACTACAACTCACTGTCCCATACGATAGCTCGTAGCCACACTGGACTATTTATATTCACGTTCAAATTAATTGCAATTACACAAAAATTTAGAATCCAAGTCCTCAGTCACAGGAGCCACATTTTAAGTGCTCTGTAGCCACATGCGGCTGGTGTGGTGGACAACATAAACACAGATCATTTCCAACATCACAGAAAACGCTACTGCAGAGCGCATTCAGTAAATACCCCATGTCAAGGAATACTGTAAGATCTTCAGAGGGGACAGGGAAAGTTTAATGTACTCATAGACTCACACATATGTGATAGTCATAGTTCTTTTATGGTAAATCTTAAGACCATAATAGATCTAAAATTAAATAGGATTCTAAACTCTAAAATGAGTATGTTCCTGAGGCTTTGAGGTTTCTTGTATTATGAAGACATCTTTTTCTGGCCTCTACCATCTTTTTTGGCACTAACCAGCCAAAAACTATTAACCTCCTTGTGGCAATGACACCACTTTCTCATAATCTTTAAAACTCTGAGTGGATTAGGTGAGGCAAGAAAAGAGGACACATATAGTTCAGGTCATACTCATATTATCCAAGATGCACGATATGCTATAATAGTCTGACTTTCAACATATCACCTAACATTACTCTCACATTAAAAAAAAAAAAACTCCACTCATATTTTTTCTACCTAGCCCCAATGGTAGTATAGAATTTATTTCTATCGTAGGCACTCATTATATAGAATTCAACAGGAAGAATGACAAGTTTAGTCACCATTCCAATATTCTGCACCCACAGCAGATACTGTTAATCAATCCATAACATTCTCCATACTACCCATTGGCTTGGATATGGCATCAGAATCCTTCTCAACACTAGGCTCCAGGTGGCATCGACCAAACGGTTGATATTGCCATCTGAGTTTAAACCTACTTGTCATTCCTGGGTCAAAGGGTGTTTAGTGGATAGAAAGAATCAAAGAAGCAGAGGAAATCCAACTGTCCCATTTAAACAATGCTACTTTCTTTAAGGCATACTTAGGTTTCATTTCTTTTCCTTTTTTAGTATAAGAGAAATGTTCTTTAACCAAGAACTCAGTGGAGCAACAGTGCCACCCAATGGCTTGTTAGGTTAGTTTTGCATTTAACTGTTACCATTTTAACAGAGAAACTGTCTCCCACAGATAAAAATGGGAACTGGAATTGGCTATTGGTTGCTTAAGCTGCTATTCACCGTTTTTCGAAATGATACATACACAGAAGGTAGGAGGCATCCTGAGAAATGGAATTGTCTTATAACAGAACCCTCATCACGTTTCCACTATCAAATCAAACAGCTCAACACAAAGAAAGGCTCCACATGAATTTATAAATGAACAGGACGGATTTTCACCTCTCATTTATAAGTGGGTGGAATGGACAACAGTTGCCCAACACCTCCATGCCCCCCTCCAGGTGAGCGTGGCTCTTTTCTCCCTATTTTCTTAGAAATCAGTGTGCTAAATTCACCCTACAAGAAATGTTAAAGTAGGTATATGTATTGCAGCACTTTATATGCAAAAAAGGAGTACAAAGGCTATGACAAGTATTATAAATAGAACTATTATTTAGTTTAAAAGCAAGCAGAATTTATATTTCACAATCGGAGAGCACTCAAGCTTTGAGATTCAAGTAAGCAAAATAAATCTGAGCTTTTTGCACTGTGAAATCGAAGCTCTAACTCTATTAATAGAAGAGGTGAGTAATAGATTTCCCTGGTTGGATGGTGGTGGGTTTTTATTACCCAATCTTCGTGATCTGCATAGCTCACCAAACACTTCCAAAGTGAGGTGACAGGGAGTCTCCAGGCACTGAGATTACATATTGTTAGTGGTGGCGTTTTTTCTCCCTTGGAGGGACTTATTTGAAGATCTAGAGACATCCCCACAGGACTGGAGAG